CTGGACCAGTCTGTGCTCAGGGTGTGCGGTGGTGGGAGTGGGGTTACAGCAATTTTGGGGAGGTGCAGCCCCCCAACCACTGCTCCCAGCACTGTTGCCACCCACCTGAAGCGCAGCCTGGCCCAGCCCCATCCCACTAGGAAGAGCCTGGTATGGCCCTGGCCCCAGCCTGCAGTGGCAGCTCCCCCTTCCCCACCCACAGATCCTGGGGCACATGTCCCCCATGCCCTCCTGGGGTGTGTGCAGAGCTGGGAGCCACCCCCACCTTCTCCATGCCTCCCAGATAAGTCACAGCTTCATCCCATGCCCTGCCCCAGCTGTGCAGTGCCTGCCCCAGCCCCACTCCCTCCCTCACCGCAGGGGCCTTGATCTGCTCCCCATGCCCCTTCCCTCCCCGCTTTTCCCACAACAGACTTACCAGCTGGACCTGCCCGCTCTCCACGCTGCTGGGCTGTGCTCCTAGCCACCTGTGTGCTGTGCTGCGGCCGTGCACATGCACGAGGCATTTATCAGCCACATTATCAGCCACATCAGACAAAAAAGCCGACTGCTGATGCTTTCAATTTTCCTCATATTGGTGCCGATCTAATATTGCGATCAATGTATCAGTGCACCTCTAGTTTTATGTGATGTAAAGAGCTGGCTTGTAAATCGTTATTTGGAAAATCTGTATCACGATTGCAAAATAGGCACCTACACACTAAAACCTTAGTGATGTAATAAAAATTCTTTGGATTTTAGTGATGAGACAAATTCATAATGATTAAGCATCCAAACTTTTGGATGATAATCTAAAATACTGAAATGCCTCCCTCAAAACCACTATTTCTTATGCTACTGTTTATTCCTCCAACAACAAACCTGCCCTATTACCATTTTTTTGCCTGCAAGGGGGAGAGGGACAAATTTAGAATCCCGGGGTGCATCTACATGTACAATTAATATGAAGAAATAAACTCTGGCACATACTGTTCCAACATGCTGGAGTTCATTGCTCCTGGGTGCCACATTTACACATGTATCCAGAACCACAGCATGCTGAGTTGGGTCAAAGCAACCCTGGCTGGCAGGGGACCTGGGGGGAGAGGTGGGGGAGAGGCCACCAGGACTGGTCTGACCCAGCTCAACGTGCTGTGGAGGAGCTGGCTGGGGCATGAGGGTGCTCCAGTGCGGGGCTAGCTGGCAAGGAGCCCCCCACAATGAAGCACTTTGTGCCCCAGCCAGCCCTATCAGCATCTACATGCATGTTGCTGCATAGTACATAATGCTGCAGCAGGACAGTACTTGTATTTAAAAGTACCAATTTACAACGGTATTTATTAGTTTACTGCAACTTAATAGGTAGATGTGTAGATGCAAAGACTTTACTGTGGAGCTAACTGGGCATCTTCGCAGTAAACATCTTGTGTAGATGTGCCCAAGTAGTCTGTGATACAGGTGAGAATGTTGAAAAGCCTGCCTGAATTCGCACTTGGAATCTCTTTCAGTTTCTCTTTCACAATGCAACTGTTACTGTGTTCCTGCTATCATCTAACTCAGTGGTTCTCAACCTTTTCGGTACCAGGACCCATTTGTAAAGTTTGATTGCCAGTCCCAACCCAGTGTCCCTCGCATCCAACCCATTGCCCCTTACCCCCAAGTGTGTGGGGTAGGGAGTGGGTGTATGTGGAGCATGGGGGTGGGGGGGAAGTACAAGCAGCCCCTTGCAGGCTGGAACTCTGCTTGCCTGCAAGGGAAGAGCCAGGGTTTCCCACATTTTTCTCTGTTAAAGGATAATCCATTTTTAAAGTTTGTTTGCAACCCTTTCATATATTCTTGTGACCCACGGGTTGAGAAACACATCCATTTATCTCACCCAACTCATCTCAATGTGATGAGTGGGCAACAGACTCCCTACCTTAATGCTGGGCTGATTTCTACTCTACAAAACAGCCAGAAATAGACTATCTACTCAGACAGGTAAAGTTTACAGCAGTTTCCACCTGACATTTATAACAGCCATAAGAGTGAAAGTTTGCTGTACCAAAACAACCCACATAGATTGCAAAACCCTTTATAAACCTGTCCTGCATAGGGTTTAGGAACTGTTAGACAGCAACAGTCTCCTCTCCTAGAATCCATCCCCCTTACTCTTAATTCCTAACTAGGAAGTTCTTAAAAGTGATACTGAGAGTGAAATGATCTCCATACTGTGAGCCCTAAATAGTGAGATTTACCCTTTTGAAGAGAAAGGTGTGAGGAAGCAGGCTTTAGACATCTGTCAAATGAATTATTTACATATCTTGCTTCAGATAACAAGATCCAGATTATTTTGCCCTACAGTGAGCAGATGAATGCCAGATTTCTAACATAGCCTTCTGAAGGCTGTGAGTGCCTGGGGTTACATGTTCTAAATCACTTTGTGGGACTCTAAACACCTTTGTATATAATAAAAAACCCTAAAAAAAAAAACCAAAACAAAAAACCAAAACAAAAAACCCCCCTATTATCTGACATTTTTCACTCTGATTTAACTGTTTTGTAACTTAAAGCTTTATCTTCATAAAAATAAGTTATTCACTAAGTTTAAAGTAGTTTGTTACTGAAGTTTAAGAAGTTATTAAAAACAATTTAAGTTCCAATCCAGGAAAGCACTTCAGCAATATGACTACTAACATACTGAATGTCATGATTTACCCTAACGAAGGGTTTTTGAACCTGAAAGCTTGCTTAATAACTATTTTCCAACTATTTGGGTTGGTCTAATAAAAGATATCAGATTCACCCAAGGAACCTTGTCATGCTTTACACATGCACAGACTATTTATTTTTCATAACAGGAAGCATATGCCAAGTGTGACCTTGTTCCATTATGAACTTTTAAAAGTCTAATACAAATACATACCCCAATGTTTTTAAATTCAATACAAAATAAGGTTGTGATCTTTGATTCTAATCTAGTTCCAGACGTAAAAACATTTTAACTAGTGTTACCTTGTACACCATCTTTACAAGCTCCATGGGTGTAAATGATTTTCCGGCATTCTCCTGGAACATATTTAAAATTTGCTGTTCGCGCATATTTCGGTGAGAAATATACTCTTGAATTTTAGCATCTACATCATGTACTACAGGGCCATGTCCTAAGTTTAAACACATTTACAAGAGTAGTGTTTTATATAACAGAATTACAGAATCAAGTTAATGAATAATTCATTTACAAATAACATCTCTCTCAATGAAGTGTACACTGATAGGCCAAAAGATTCTGTAGTCAACAACACACAAAAAGATCTGATCCCCCAGCTCAAATAATCAGGTATTCATTTACAGTGAGTTAAATGGGATTAACTATCAGTGCAATTCCAGAGCAAGGACTGAACCTACACTTCTGGATCAGAACAGCAGAACTGAAAAGATTTGAGTGTGAAAAGGTAACACTGCAAGGACAAGGTTGCTGTGGCCTACTTAAACACAAAACAAGAAAAAAAACCTCATTAGGAAATTAAATTAAAAAAAAGAAAAATATTAATTTGTCTGAACAGGAATAAGGCAATGGTAAAACAGGTTAACTATATTTGAAATAAACATTCCAACGTGGCCATTTCAATATGGACTCATTCAGATCATAAGTACTTGCTTATAGGAAGTACTTTGAAAACAAGTTAGGGAAAGACTACAATCCCTATCTAAAAAGAACTGAACTTTATATGGAAACTATCATAAGCAAACAGTTTATATAGGTGCTTTATCTATGAAGAAATTATTTGCCAAAATACAGGGATTTTTCTTTTTACAAACTGTTAAGGTACACAAAAATCCTAGCACTGTAATTTGGATGGTACGCACTTTGCATGCCGAGATAAAGGAAACTATGTTCATGTGTGTAAGATTGATTGTTGACTAACCCACTCATAAAACAGTTTCCTTTGCAGCTCTTCTGAATCTACATTTTTGGAACTTTTAATAGCCTATAGATGTATTTTGGAGTAAGTTGAAAAAAAAATCAATCAAAATGATTTTTTGTCCAAAGACTTTTGGGAAATTTTGACAGACCATCATATCTTTATCAGTCCCTTGCACCTTAAAAATAATTTTTCATTCTAGTTTCAAACTGCCTCTTGAAATCAAGGAACTGGGATACAGTGCAAAGCTCCTTTTCTCTGTGCAATTTACAATCCAAAGATTGAAGGCCTTAATTCTCTACTCCCTTGCACTACACAGTCATTTATACCAGTATAGAGAGGTTGTAAAACACTACCAAGATCAAATACCAGCATTTACTTGGGTCCATGAATCTTGGGCTCTTTTTCCTGTCTGGGGAAGTGGCAGCATAGAATGAACACAAAACACTCTTCAGAGGTTAAAAGTCTGTGTTGTATGAAGTAGCATCAAGTGAATTCTAAAATAATGAAGTACTGCTAGAATCTGTGGAAATTTTAAACCCGACAGGCAACTAGGAGGAACTTGTAAGCTTGGCAAAAGTCTACAAAGTCTTCAGCACAAAAAGGTTATGCATATTCAACTTTCATGCTATATTCAACACGTTCACACCTATATACAGCAAGCCTTATTTTAGGCTGTAACTGACACATATGGATGGTCATAAATATGTCTTAAATGTGTACTTTAAAAGTAAAACTTTCTAAAAATAATATCCTTCAATTACAGTTTTTTTGCTAAACAAAACAACTGTTACAAACTTACTATATGTATAATCGGTAACACCAATGGTATTATATGTTAAAAGGATATTGAAATGATTAGTTGAGGTAGGAAAGTGGAGGTGGTAAGACTAACTACCCGTCCTCTCTAAAGGGCCAAAAAGTCACATGAAGCATTCTCCACATATATGAATGCCACTGAGAAATATAGAACCATATCTGGACAGAAACCTGCTTCATCAACCAGTTTTCTGGGTCACTCACCACATTCTATTAGTTATAAACATATACCTTCCTTAAAGGAAGTATATTCATATTTTAATAATGTAGGTCCTCATATGGCTGCCACCATCATAAAACATCACAATCCCCTCTGTGTATGACTCCTGTGAAGTAGTGTCATTACCTTTACATAACAGGTGGGAAAACAAAGCAAAGAACTATAAAAACTGACCTGCTCTAAGTCACAAAACAAGTTTGTGGTGCAGCCTAGAACTGCTCCTTAGCTCCTAGTTCAGAGACTGAACTACAAGTTCATATATCATGCATATAGAATTCTGCTAACAGGGAAGGACTTTAGTCAACTTCTCCCACTTAATGGAAGAAATTCTACTTTCAGTTGGTAATACTCTCTGCCATCTTCGTAAAACCATAGATTACATGAAGACAGGGTAATGGGAAGTCTTAAAAGTTCACACTTTGAAGACGGACCATGTGAGGAGTAGCTAGGCAACTCAGATAATTAACTGCTAAACTAATATGGCAGTAAGAATGGGTTCAGATATGTTACTGAACCTGTAGGCATGGGAGACAAAAGAGAAGATGAGGGCAGATAGCTGGAGATCCTAGAAAGCCCATTGCAGAGCAGATTAGCTAATACAGCTAATGTTATTTTGTAATATACAGAAGATGAAGTACACTGGTGCATTTCAGAACTATAGTGAAAAAGCTGTTGAAAGAAAATAGAAAAATAACAATATTCTTTAATGTAAAAACAAATAACATAATCCTCAACCATTGGATTGTATCTAGTCACAAAATGTTTAGCAAAAATATGCTTAGACCCCTGTTGCCAGCTTTATAGTACAGAAGCACATAAACTGAGGCATACCAATTCCCTCCCTTCCTCTACAACAGTGATATACAACTTTTGAAGGCTGTGGACCAGATTAACCCAGTTCAGACTAGAGGTGGGGGGAATATGCTAGGACCCAGCCACTGCTGGCAGTTTTCTCTGTAGCAGCACAAGAAAGCAATTGCTGCTGAAGCCCCCTACTGCCAAATACCTCTAAAGTCCCATGTCTATGGGCCAATCAAATGGCTCCACCAGTCCAGATTCAGCCTGCAGGCCATAGGTTGCCAATCCCTGCTCTGTAATAACAACATGCAACCTTGCTTTGAAAACCAGGCCATTCTAAAGTGTATACTTCTAAAGTATATGCAAATATTGGTTTAGGTTAGGGATGTCAAATGTAGGACCCGTGGGCTGGATCTACCCACCAGATCATCAGAAGTTGGCAAGCACGGCTTACTATGAAATTCAAGGCTCTTTGGCCCTGCTAGCCATGGCCATCAGCACCAACCTTGGGTTGCCATAATTGGATCCCTCCCACTGCCAAGATCTTGGCCAACAGACCCCTCACCACCACCTCTGTATCCCTCACTGTCCCAGACCCCTTACAGCAGTGGCTGTGGCAGCTATCTCCATTTCCCAGGCTAGATCAGGCATGCAAGGAAACCCAAAGTCTGGATCTGGCCCAGTTTGACACCTCTGGTTTAGATGAATGTAGACACATATTATGTATTTGGAAGCCAAGACCTCTAATATATAATCAGCAGAAAGTAAATCAAGGTTATATACATGAGAAAGAACATTGTTAATGGGCTTTCTGCCTTACAATGCATGGTGCTCTTTTACAGTTTAAGGAAGAAACATGAAACATTTGTAGTGCCAAACACAGAAAAAACCTGGAAGTTTGTTCTACATTTGGAAAGCATGCCTTAAAAGAGTAGACAAATATCACCTATGGTTGGAAATGTCAGCCAAAAACAGTGGGTGTATAATTAAGCTGACATTCCATATTGAAAATATTTATGCTATAAAGTGGGAGGGTGGAAAGATTTCTGGTATGAATCTGAGGTTCATCTGTTAAATCAAAATTACTGTATTTTCTCACATACAACATACTCCTGAGATAAGATATGCACCTTGTATTTGAGAGGCGGAAAGCAGAAAAAGAGGTCTTTCTTTGTAATAAGCGAGTAGCAGCAGCTAGGGAGACAAACCTGCTCATTGTTCTTCCTGTGAATCCATGTAGACTTTACTTTCATTTTTGTCTAGAAAGTGGCAGAAACTACCATGGCCATATTTCTTGTATATAATACACACTCCACTTTCCAGCAGCTGGATTGTGGATAGTTTGGGGCAGGGGGTTAGAAAAAGGTGTGTGTATGAGAAAATATGGTATTTTGTTAATGTAAAGATCACCTTTGACTTTTTTCATAAACTACAAAAAAACAAGTGTATTAGCATCTCTTACTATGATGGTTAATTTTTTACATTTTAAATGTTTTGTTATGGAGAATCCAAATTCCCAAATCCATGTTTAAATATTAAACACATTAAAGATGATAAATACCATTAAAGTTTTGTTTGATAACTTAAATATTCCATTTTAAGTATTCGTATTTCTTAACTAAAAGATGGTTAATAGAAAAGTGTGGATGCCCTCTGGTGGCCAAAACACATTTTTTAGTTCTTATACATATTTTTAAGGTACTGGCAATGAATATATTCTGATGTATATTCAGTCCAAACCAATTCACATGCTTAGTAAAAATACACATGGAAAAAGGAGATATTTACATTAGGCAAATGGACTCACTGTGACAAAACTCTACCTAATTCAAAACCTCACATAAAAGCCTCCAAAGTGTGTTTGAGAGTAGGCTGGCTGGGAGAGAATAAAAGAAACAACAATCTCAGGAACAGGCTACTTATTCCGAATAACATTAAAGCACAAAATATAGTTACTCTTATTATAGTAAGAATTTTACTATATTAAAGAGCAGTAATAGAAACTGTTTTGATTGGAGAGTGTACTGTTTGCAGAAGTGAACAAATAATTTGTGGACTATGTATACAAATTAGATCTGACTGAACCTAGTATATATAACAGAATATTTATGGCTACTGACCACTGATAAAATATAAAAATATATACTGTATTGTAATAAAAATCTTAACTGAAATAAGCATATTAAAATGTAAACTACAGCAAAACAAGCCTTTGGTGGAATTTCATCCTTTTATAATAAGATAGGCAAAAAAGTAGTTCTGGCAGCACCAAAGGTCTATAGATCTAAGATAAGAGTCTGTATGGAGCAGAACTTTTGGGTGCTGAATCTATGGCCCACCCAAAAATCAAAATGATCTTTAATTAGTTTTTAAAGGGGCTTTTATCTCTACCTAATTCTACAATGGGGGGGGGAGGGGGAATGATGAGGCTCATGCAGTCTGAAACTAGACTGATAAAGGTGAGCACCTTGGTTCAATGAAGACTAACTACTGGATGAAAATTAGACCTTTTACATCTAACTACATACCCCAGAGAAGCTGGGTTTTTTGGTTGTAGCCATATTGGTCTAAGGCCATGGGCAGGCAAGGTACTTTGAGCAGATGTGATATCTTTTATTAGACCAACTGAGTCATTGGAAGAGAGCTCTTAGCAAGCTTTTGGGCACAGTCACCCTTCTTCAGGCATAGGGACCAGCAGACTCCCTATGCCTGAAGAAGGGTGGCTGTGCATGATTAAATGGTGGAAACTGGCACATTACTTGCTTCAATTTTTTTTCCTGGAGTGCAAAAAAAAATCAAAAGAAATGGACTATAGTAAATAAACTTTGTAAGGCAGGCAATATGGACTACTGGACAGAGGCCTGGGTACTATTCTCAGCAATACCACTGATCAGCTGGTAACTATAGGCAAATTATTTAACTTCACTTTCTTCATTTTCCGCATCTGTAAACAAGGTATCCATCAACTTTAATAACACTTCCCTCCCATAAAGTGATTTAAAAGCTATTGATATAGCATGTTATATATGCTAATTTATTTTAGAAGAAATACATTTTAAGTATATTATTAGGAGTAAATGCACAGGGCAGTGTCAAAAAGGGCACACTTAAAAGGTTAGGAAAGAAAATAGAAACAGAGGGATGAAGTCACTCATGCAGAATGAAGGTGTGAGGAAAAGTAAAAATATAAATGAAAGAGGTAGGAGTTAGGAAGTGAAGTTCTGAAAGAGTAGGGAATTAAATCTTAGTCGCATAATGAGTTTTTAAGTTCAGTCTTGATAAACAAGAGTCATGTTTTATATGAAAATTAATGTATTCCCAGAAGAAAAGAAAAGCAATGTCAAAGTCCAAATCAATCAAAAGATTGTTAACAGATACACAGTTTGAGGTCATATGAATACTTAAAATGGAATATTTAAGTTATCAAGCAAAACTTTAACAGTATTTATCATCTTTAATGTGTTTAATATTTAAACATGGTTTTGGGAATTTGGATTCTCCATAACAAAACATTTAAAATGTAAAAAATTAACCATCATAGTAAGAGACACTAATACATTTGTTTTTTTGTAGTTTCTGAAAAAAGTCAAAGGTGATCTTTACATTAACAAAATACCATATTTTCCTCATACACACACCTTTTTCTAACCCCCTGCCCCAAACCATCCACAATCCAGCTGCTGGAAAGTGGAGTGTGTATTATATACAAGAAATATGGCCATGGTAGTTTCTGCCACTTTCTAGACAAAAATGAAAGTAAAGTCTACATGGATTCACAGGAAGAACAATGGGCAGGTTTGGTTCCATAGCTGCTGCTACTCAGTTACTACAAGGAAAGACTTCCTTTTCTTCATTCTGCCTTTCAAACAGAAAGTGCGTATCTTATCCCAGGGTATGTTGTATATGAGAAAATACAGCATGGATTCATCAAGAGCAAGTCATACCTGACCAACCTGATTTCCTTCTATGATAAAAGCGACAGGCTTTATGGATGAGGGGAGAGCAGTAGACATGGTATACTTTAACTTAAGCAAGCCTTCTGACATTTGACTAGGATGGTTTAGTTAGGAATGATCCTGCCTTGAGCAGGGGATGGGCTAGGTGACCTTGAGGTCCCTTCCAGCCCTATTTTCCCCATGATTAACTGAATTTACGGTATAAATGTAGACTGCAGTAGAGACCTATACACTCCATAAACCACGATCACCATTGCCACCTTTTTTATACCACCCTAACCAAAGCAGCCAAAAAAGCAAATGGTCATAGGTACTTAACTAACCTACTTGCCCATTTCCTTCCATGTTTTTTTCAGCTGCGAGCAAAGTGCACTGGTTCTGCTGTACACTGCATGGGTCCTCTGAACTGTCAGTTCAGAACTTTTCAAAAGCGCAAATTTAACACTGAATCAAAATGATGTCAGCAAGAGAAATAGCTATTATAGTAGGCAGCCATGATGAGGTATAAGCAGAGTGTCCTGCAGTATTATATCTGCATTATTATTTGTCTGTAGTAAGTGGTCTTATATTGTTATAAATAGGTGGTGCACCAATAGAGATTTTGGGGGCCAATACCAATAACCAATTTTTAAGGAGGTATGTCGGCAGATACCAATCTGATTTCCGATACAACTGCATCCAGCTGGTAAGTCTGTTGTGGTGGAAGGGGACGGAGGATGGAAGGGGGGGCAGATCAGTGGCCCCCATGGTGAAGGAGGGAGTGGGGCTGGGGCAAGTGCTGCCCAGCCGGGCGAGGCGGAGCACGGTGTGGGACAGAGCTGCATCTTGTCTGGGTGGGTAGGAAGTGAGAGCGGCTTCCACCGCTGCGCAGACCCTAGGAGGGCATGGCGGAGGGGGGGGTGACTCCGGATCTGCAATGGGCGGAGCAAGTTGCAGCTGTGGGCCAGGGCCGGGACTGCGCTGGGCTCTTCTCGGCAGGGGCTGGGCTTGGGACGGGCAGTGCCAGTTCTGGGAGGGGCTACAGCCACCCCAAATTTCGCTGTAGCCCCCCCAACCTTCCATCCCAGC